CTGTAGAACAGTGCTCAGAATTAGTTACCCATTTCGGCCGATTCCTGAGGCGATCCCCACTACCATTCGAGACTCGGCGACCGAGCCGCCGTTCGCTCACGTGACGCTGTGCCCCAGGAACGTCGCGATACAAAAAGTATGATATGCTGTGCATATCTTCCGGCAAATATTATTAAAATATTTTCTTTCCTACATGATTTTTATTTCAATAAATAATTAAAATAAATCTTTTATTATTAACATGTTTTATTATTAACATATTATAATATATTCTGCAATAATATATAATTAAAAATTACAATATGATAATTATAATGTGGACAATGGCTTTCCATATCATCTTGAAACTATTATTGATACATTTTTCAAATAGTTTCTTCAGTAGGTTTATTTAACTAAAAAATAAAAAAAGGATGATTAAATATATGTGACTCAGTAAAGTAAAATTTTACATCATAAAATATTTTACTTCATAAAATTTGACTTTGCCGAATCATGTATTTGATCATTTTTTTGTTATTTTTTAGCAGAATAAACCTATTGGAGATTATGTAAATACGAATGAAAAAGCAGAAGAAAGAAAAATAAATAATTTCCATAACAGTATGAATTTAATTTTCTGAGTCATTAATACAATTTTACTAAATATTATACCCACAAAGATTTTAAAAGAACTAATTCACATCGGCGAGGATAACGATGTATAGTCCAAGAACAATATTTTTCTATTTTCGTGAATTTCGTCGAGATAGAAATATAATAAATAAATAAATAATTTTATTATAAAAATAGATACAATAAAGCCATATCTTATTAAAAGGTTGCACATATATTCTTACTTGTTATTCATTTTTCAGATGAAATCAGTGGCAGAATTATAATGCTATAATTGCGAAGAAGACAGTCTTATAACTACATTATTACACTCAAATCTTTATATTACAATAACCATTAATACCTTTAATACTATCATACATAGCATAATTAAATATAGCATTATCATTATTACGCAAATAGTATTTTCTATAATCTATCGTTATAATATGAATCTTTACATTTCGCGGTTTAATTACCCATATAGCACCGAAAGATAATATTTTCAGACAATAGTTTAACTGTATCTCAGAAATATTTTAACTGAAAAGCGAAATATTTCATAAAAGTTACGAAATATGTCTGGAACGTTTCTGAGCTCTGGAATAGCAAAGTTATTCATATACAAAAGTTATTCACAATTAAAGTTGAACAAGTCATGATAACATCAAAATTACGTTAGATTGAATCATGATTGATAAAAAAATGATTTTTGATAGACATTTATGTTGTATAGAATTATGTTGGATAGAATCCTTTATGTTGCAATATTTCATATAATATATTGCAGAATCTTTTTAGAATTGTTGCACATGTAAAAGGTTGAAACATTTCTGAAAATTTTCCGCAGCAATCGGTGCTATATGGGTGTAGATGTGCCTGCTCCTGCCGTGCGTTGATGTGCAATTATTTATCTTCTCCGCTATTTCTTAACTATTTTTTAGTTTAGTAGTGAAGCGTGTACGACAGTGTACGTTAAAGGTTTCGTGCGAGATTATAAAGTTTTGAAGATTTTTTACAAACAGAAAGTGCTTCTTGCGTAATAATGTAGTAATACGTGTGATAGAACTACATTTGATAATGTTACGTGTAAAAGTGCTATATGTGATGTTGCTAAGAAAAGAGAATGTACTAGTGTTTATTAATAGAGCAAAGTGTAATAGTGCATTGCTTGTATATATTATTTATCTATTTTGGTATAATCCTGTCATCGATTTCACTTAAAGAATGGATAAATATGTGCAACCTTTTGACAAGGTATGGGAAGAAATTTTTTTTGCTTCCGTTAATAATAAAACCACTTGTCTTCTGTGTGGTTATCAATCCTCCACTGTTAAAAAATATATTCTTCACGGACATTATAATATTAAACATTCAAAGGGTTATTCAAAATATATGGACAAAGAGAAATTCAATTTAATTAAAGGATTAAAACTAATTTATAAAGAAGGTTGTAATTCAAGTTCTCATGTTGATAATGCTACCTTCAGTAAAAGCTCTTACAGCGTCGTATTCAATTTCAAATTTAATTGCGAAAAATTCTAAACCGTTTTGTGAAGGAGAATTTATAAAGGACTGCATTATCGCAGCAGTAGAGTCGTTTGGAAGTTCATTAACTCTTGAAGAAGCTGCTAGCATTCCATTAAGTGACAAAACTGTAAAATCAAGAATCGATGACATTGCCTCCTCTTTAGAAAATAAATTAAAATTTTTATTAGCTTCTTGCTCTTTCTTTTCATAAGTTTCGATAAGAGCACCGATAATCGACATGTGAGTCAATTGAGTATTTTTGCTCGAATCGTGCAAAACGATTTCTCACATGTCGAGGAGCTTTTAGATTTTGTCCTATTACATAATACGACAACGGGAATTGATATTTTTGAATCTGTTAAACAAACTCTTCAGAAATTTGGTATAGATTTTTCGAAATGTTCGACTATCGTAACTGACGGCGCAAAGGCAATCGCAGGTTCAAAAAATGGATTTTTCGGTCAATTGAAGCAGCGAGGCTTAAAATTCCCTGTTATTCACTGAATCATCCATCAAGAAGCGTTATATGGGAAAGTTGTAAAATTATATACTGCAATGCAAATGGTTACAAAAATTATTAATATGATTAAAGGCGGTCATAAGTTCCTTTCTCATCGGAAGTTTCAACATTTTCTCGAGGCACATAACGCATTTTGTAAAGATGTACCACTATATTGTAAAGTTCGGTAAAGCTCAATGCAGGAAAATGTTTAGAAAAATTCTTTGCAATAAGAAAAGAGATTTTCCTTTTCTTGCAAGACCATTTTTCAACAAAGTGTGATAAATTTCAATTTTTTTTTGAAAATTTAGATTCACTTTGCGAGCTTGCTCTAATTGCTGATACGACAAACCATTTAAACATTTTTAACTCAAAGTTGCAAAAAACATGATATGATCAAACCATTTCATAACTTGTTAGTCATATCAATTCTTTTCGCAGAAAGTTAGTATTATTTAAACATCACTTAGAAAATAATGTTATTCATTTTTTCCCTTCTTGCCAGATTCTGTTTGAAGAACACTGTATAAATTGTAATTTTCGAAAACAACTAAATATAATCGAGTCTTTAATAGGTCAATTTGATGGGCGTTTCAGTGATTTCGAAACGTTAAGACAAGATTTGACTTTTAAGAATCCTCTCACTGTACAAATCGAGGAACAAAGCCTCGAATTTCAGGCAGAACTTTGCGATTTGCAATGTGATTTTTCTTTGAAAACACAACTAGAAAAGGGGATTGAATTCTTCAAAATTTTAGATGCATCCTGTTATCCATGTCTAAGAAAGTTTAGTCTTCAAATTTTCTCTATGTTCGGGTCCACATATTTGTGTGAATGCTCTTTCTTTAAAATGAAATTTACGAAAACGGAAAAACGTTCTTCTTTAAATGATGCATCGTTATCCTCGATAATGCGAACTACTTCTTCTAAAATCTCTGTGGATATACCATCCCTAGTAGAATCGTGCAAACAACCCAGAAGGTCAAATTAACATTTTCAAGAAAATTAGTTGCTTCTGTTTCATCTTCATACATTTTTATATTTTATATTAGAGAATGTTGTTTTCCTAGTTCGAGCCACATTTGATCAGCTTCTTTATTATTTTTTAGTGGAATAGGCCTACTGGGGAAACCACTTAAAAGAAAAAACGCATCAACAATAGTACCTCAGAGGTGATGTGGAAAACTATTATCCATATCGCAATTACAGTATTATAATAATTGCTTACTATATTATTTTGCTTATTATATTATTGCAGAATATACACATAGTATGTTAATAATAAAAAAGTTAATTATTAAAACAAAAATCATGTAGGAAAGAAAATATTTTAATGATATTTACTGGAAGATATACTCCCAGCATACTTTTTGTATCGCGACGTTCCTGGGGCACAGCGACACGTGAACGATCGGCGGTTCGGCCGCTGAATCTCGAGGTAATGGGGATCGCCTCAGGAATTGGCCTGAAATGGGCAACTAATTCCGAGCACTGCTATAGAAGATTACCTTTTTAAAAAAGTTAAAAAAAAGTGCTAAGCATATACGTGCTTCTCGAATAGTGATACCTAAGTGATACGTAACTTTTTATTATTCTAACTCAAGCAGTAGCAGTTTTAATTATTTTTCAAAAATATTCTTATTGAAGGTCCTCTTATTTCAATCCAAGTAATGACAGTTTTAATTCTCTGTCAGAAATTATCTCATACCATTCGTAAAAAAAATTTGATATCAACAATTGGCGTCAAGTTAAGGGGATCCTGGAGTGACCAAATTATCACATTACAGTCCTATAAAAATCTTCGAATTGACTGAACGGAATAAAAAAATCCTTTTACAGAATTAAAATAGACGCAAAATTAGGAGGTGATGCAGTGAACCTTGTACTATAATCGAAAAAAAGTTAATAAATTTTTTAACATTCTTTTGATTTTAGTATAAAATCCACTGCACCACCTCCTAATTTTGCGTCTACTTTAATCCTGTAAAAGGATTTTTTATTCCGTTCAGTCAATTCGAAGATTTTTATACGACTGTTGTATGAATGGTATATGAGCTTCGCGACATTGTAGCGAGTTTATTTTAGTTTATGGATATGGCGTGCGAGCGCTTGCGTCGAGCGATAGCCCCGGCGTCCCTCCTGTATCTAGTTTTAGTTTAGTTTAAGTTCTTTTTTCGTTTCGATCGAGAACGCAGTTTTGTTTTATTTTGTAAGCAAGATCGATGTAACAGTAACGAGCAATAAACCATTCAACATTTGGTCCTTTAAGCCCGATCACCGAGATATCACAGAGCATCTCAGTGAGTGAACTAGGATTAAAAAGCAAAATTCAATCTAATAAGGATATTACAAGAGGAACGCGAAACAATCGTTCAACATGGCCGACGTCGAAAAGTTAAGAAAGCAGAGAAGTTACATTAAAGGCAAGCTGATCAGGCTCGAGCAGACAGTAGCACGCTTCCAGGAACAAGCAACAGCGATGATCGACAAGGAGGACGCAGAGATTCGCCTGGAACGACTCGAACAGGTAATCAATGAATTCCAGACAGTACAACGACAGATTATCAGTGAAACTGACGAGCTATTGGCTACGTTTACACCGTGCGCTTAGTCCGCGACCTATACGATAGGTGTCTTTGTTTAATATACAGGACATCTATTGTATAGGCCGCGGCCTAAATGCACGGTGTAAACATAGCCATAGGTATGCGACGTCACGGCGGAAGCCGAGGCTGAATTCGAGGAGAGAAGCTCAGCCGTAAAAGCAATATTACGACGAATCATAAAGTCGACGAAGAGCGAGAGCGATGAAACAAGGACGACGGAAAGCGATAGCGTACTCGTGCAACTTTTACAAAAGCAGATGACAATAATGAAGAAGTACGAAGCCATCGGAACCGCGCAAGTGCAGGCATCCTCCGAGGTACGACCGGAAGACAACGCCCCATTGGGAACCTTGTTGCGGACACAAACAGAACTACTACAGCGCCTTACCGATAATTCTGAAGATGGCGTTACTAGTGGAAATCGAGTCAAATTACCGACCATCAATCTACCCTCATTCAATGGCAAAATTGAAGAGTGGACGAAATTCGCGGACGCATTCAAGAAAACAATTCACAGTAATCGAGCGTTGCCAAACATACAAAAATTCATTTATTTACGTTCCTGTGTCTCTGGTGCAGCCGCACGGGTGATCGAAGACATCGAGTTATTCGACGACAACTATTCGATAGCTTAGGAACAACTACAAAAACGGTTCAAAGATTCAAGTGCCATAAAGCGGAAACACATACAATCCCTGCCTGCACGATACGTGACAAACACGTCTCTATGACGTGCCAACTCGTCACACGTTACGTCGCAGCGACTTCTCGAAACGTAATAGACACGTCGCTGACACGTGACTAACAGTCAAATTCTCGGTTGCGACAGCAACGTCGCAGTGACGAATATTTGTGACTTTATGTAACGTGTTGAGCACCTATTTGCGACCTAAGACCCGGTTTCATTATTTGGTTAAGTTAACTTATGGTTAGGCTTAACCTGATGTTTTATCCATGATAAGCTTTATCTATATGATCATGTCATATACGAAGTCCTTTGGGTAAAACATCAGGTTAAGCTTAACCACAAGTTAATCAATTAAATAATGAAAAATCGGATCTAAAATGTGGTCGACCATTTGAAAAATGAAGACAATTTTTTATTGTGCCATGTAAATATAAAATACTTAACAGATGAAATGTATATAATTATACTCATCAGTTTCAGCAAGTATATATGTTTTATTTTATGTATGTAAAATAAAAAATATACAATATATTTATATATTTTTTTATTCTATATAGTCATTCCATCCTTGTCTTACGTTTAGTAAACGATAAAGATAGAATGACACTAATAGCGCTAATGTCATCTCTCTCTCTTTCTCTCTCTCGATTTCTGTCGCTCTTCCCCGAACACATGCATATAATAGATAATATGTATAATGTACTTATAAATACAAGTAGTAATATAAATCTCTATTTTTTAAAATATATATCTATATAAGAGTATAAGTATAAAAGTTGTCAATAGAGATAACTTTCTTTCAAAAATAAACTATTTTTCGTACACATGTAACTAACACAAATATGAAGCAGTAACATATATCTCTATCTTTAAACATGTAAACTTGAAAAAGTATAAAATAAATAAATAAAACTATCTTTTTCCCAAAAATAATACTTGCAGGTAATCACAGTAACGTGGAAAAATTATAAACTTTTATATTTTAATTTGATTCGTCATATTCTGAATCGCTTGAACTTAATTTTGTTTCTTGTCGACATTTTTCTTCTTTCCTGAAATAAACGAATATCAATAAGGATATGGTTATTTAGGCTGTGTTTCAAAATTTACTGCTAGTACTGAAATCCAGTGCACATAACGTAAACTAGATTTTCAGTACTGAGAGTGAATTTTGGAACAGTCTTAAAGTACTAAAAAAAGTATGTGAAGTATAGCTTACAGAAGATAATGGCCCGGAAATATGTATAACATTAACTAAATTAGGAATGAAAGCAATTGGTATTCATGTTAAACATATGTTGTAATTAGATATTAACTAATTAGTATATGAGTGAAGAAAGTACGATACTATTGCTCAACCGATACATAAAATGATTAAAGCTCTTAAGAATTAAATGTAAACTAAAATCATATAGTAGTAATACTATGGGGATTCTAACTCAGGTCCTCCGAGGGGGGAGCGGGGCGCGGGGTATTCGTAGGCGCGGGGAGGGAAGGGAGGTGATAGCGCGGGGAAGGC